AACTTGGTGGTGGAACGATGAGGTTCAGACGGCGATTAAGGAAAAGAGTCAGGCGTAAAGCAATGGCATAAGTCGAAATAGGAAAGCGATCGACAGTTCTACCTAAAAAAGAAACACGTTGCAAAAACATGTGTCAGGAAGGTGAGGAAAGCATACGTAGAAGAGCTGTATAAGAAATTGGAATCTCGTGATGGAGAGCGCGACATATACCGAATAGCGCGAGGGAACAGAGTCCGCAAAAGATATGGAACACTTCTACTATGTGAAGGATAAGCTCAAGAAGACCACAGGAAATAAGTTAGAGATGGCGAACCTACTTCGAAGATGTTGTCTACTACCAGCAGTAGCCCCACCAGCTGACCTTGTGAAAGGACAAGTGCCACTCATAACAGCAGAGGAAGTATGGCTTGCAATAACAAAGACAAAGAACGGTAAGGCTTTTGGTCCAGATGACATACCAAGCGAATTCCGGAAAGAATGCGTATGGTCGGTGCTTCATGGCTTGCAGCCTCTTCAATCAGGTCATCAAAATTAAAAGCATGCCCCATGATTGGTCAAACAGCACAACGATTTCAATATGGAAAAATAAAGGCGATATCGGATAACGTATCGACCAATCCGGCTGATGAGCCACACTCTGAAGATCTTCGAAAGAGTACTTGAAAGACGACTTCGAGCGATCATAGAGTTATTATCAAATCAGTGCGGATTTGTAAAGGGTGCCGGTACTGCTGAAGCCATTCATACTGTACGGATAGTGATGGAAAAGTATAGAGAGAAACGAAGATAGCTGCATGCGGCTTTCCTCGATATGGAGAAAGCTTTCGACAAGGTACCCCACGATGTCATATGGTGGGCAATCCGAAAGCACATGGTCCCAGAAGTATACATAATGGATAATAATGATTTATTATGGAGACATCAAAACCATTCCGCATAAAGACCGGCGTGCATCAGGGATCGGTGCTCTCTCCCCTACTCTTCATCACAGTTATGGATGCAGTGGCGGAAGGTCTCGAGCGACAGCCTCCATGGGCTCCCCTTTATGCAGACAATATGGTGTTGCCGGCAGAAAACAGAAAAGAACTTGAAGAAGAAACACAGAGATGGAAGGACCAATTAGGGTTGTATGGCTTAGAGCTTAACACAAAGAAGACAGATTATATGGAAGGAGAAGTCAAACTTCAGAAACCATATACATCGATGAGAAGCCAATCAAGAAAGCGAGTACCTTCAAGTACCT